CCGAAAACTTTGAATTAATAATATAAAATGTTCTATTCGATTTTCTTACTTGTTATTGTTGTCTCCTCACAGACGACACCATATTGTGCCAATGTAATTGGAAATTTGTGCGTGTCGTGTGTAGACGATTATATTTTATCTGAGGACCAAAAATCGTGCACTTATAAAAGAACGCTTGGCTGTGAGACGATAAACAATAATAAATGCACTTCATGTTCAGATGGCTACAAATTTGATTTTGACAACCAGAAGTGTGTAATTGGTGATGAGTACTGTTTGTCCACAAAACAGTTAGACAACAATGACGTTGTGTGCACTTATTGTATGTCAGGAACAACACTTTTAGACAGCAAAAAGTGTGTCAATTGCACATCCGAAAACAAAGGCTGTTCACAAGCATCTAATAGTTGTTCTGACTGTGATGTTTGTGAATATGGATATTACTTGGACAACACGACATGTGTTCGAATTCCAAATTGTAAAGAAAACGATCCTGAAAACGTCACAAAATGCCAAACTTGTATTGATATGTACAATTACAGAGATGACCAGTGCATGTGGTGGAATGTTCCAAATTGTATAAGTTATATCGAAAGAGGTGTTTGTGCCACATGTGAATATGGGTATACACAAGTCGGCACTGGTTGTAGATATGTTCCATATTGTACTCAATTTGACAGCAACGGCTGCACTTCATGTGCAAAGGGATATGGACTTAACAACAAAAATTGCACAAAATGTGAAAAGGCTCTATGCACTTCTTGTTATTCAGACTATTCACAATGTGATGAATGTGCAGATGGATACACCACTGTAAATGGTCAATGCATGAAATGCGAAGTAAATGGGTGTAAAAAGTGTGTATCAGAGAACCCATATAAATGCTATGAATGCAACTCGGATAACGGCTACAAACTGATTGAAGACACAAAACAGTGTTATAAATGCCCAGACCATTGCACTGAGTGTTCTGATATGATCAATTCAGTGCATATTTGTAGTGAATGTGAAACTGGATATGCTGTATTTGATATGAAATGTGCTGCATGTGGTGAAGGGTGTATGACTTGTAGTGGTGTTGCACAAGAGCAGTGCAGTCTTTGTAAATATGGGTATCACCTCGATGGTGTTAACAAAAAGTGTTACAAATGCGCTGAAAATTGTTTAAGTTGTCAAGCGGAGAGTACTGATGTCTGTGAAATGTGTGCGCAAGGCTATGCGATAGACAATGGCAAATGTAGAAAATGTGATTCTAACTGTATTTCTTGTGATTCATCGGACTATTCTAAATGTCTAACATGTAAAGATGGATACGTTTTGGTTAGTGATGAATGCCAAACGTGTGATGAATCGTGTCAAACATGCACTTCACCAAACGATTACCGAGCCTGTGTCAAATGTGCAAGTGGATTTTACAAAGATTCATATAATGAGTGCATCAAATGCACAAAAGAAAATTGCAATGCTATTAATAAAGTTTCAATTTATAATATCGAAACCACTTGCAACATCTGTTCTGACACATGTGATTACAAAAAACGAGACGAAAATGGGTATTCATGTGGAGAGATATCGTTCTGTGACGTTTTTGATACAACCAGAAAAGTGTGTGTTGAGTGCCAAAGGGGGTATTATCTAAATGCAGATTATGAGTGCAAGAAGTGTTCAGAAGAGTGTTTGGAGTGTGTGAATACCGAAAAGGAGTGTAAAGAGCATTACAAAAATGTTGAGAATTGTGTGTTTTATGATGTCAATCATAAGTGCAAAACTTGTGAAAATGAATACAAAATGGAAAATGGTGTATGCGTGAAAGTAGGAGATTGTGTAACAAGGAATGATGAAGGAGTGTGCATCGTTTGTGAGAATCAGAAAATTGTTGGTGATGATAACAAATACCCAGCAGAATATAATGGGACTTGTAGTCGAGAAGAACATGTTGTTAACAGTTCTCAAAGTATTTTCACAATACTTCTATTTGCCGTTTTCTTGATTATCTAAGTGAGAAATTACTAATTTTATTATAGTATTTTAATAATGGTAAATTAATATAAAAATAGATTTGAAAACCTATTTAGTTTAACTTTAAAAAAAATAATAACACATTTTTATTAATAATCCTCAAAATTTATAATTGAATTTACCTTGCAAGCTATTGATGATATAGAAAACTTAACTACTTATTATAAAACTAAAAGTTCGAACAAAATCAGTTTGTGTTTTTTATGTTGATTTTAAGTCGACATCGGACAAAGTAATTTGTTTAATGTTGAATATGATAACAAAGATATTTAATTTTATCGACGAGTTTGCAAAACTGATATTTTTATGAAAAAAATAATAAACAGACTTATATTTTTTTAATTATAAATTTTGTACAATTTTTATTAACAACACTCTACAAATGTGTTTGAATTTAAGTAGATGAACTGACACTGTATGGCAACAAAATGTTTATTGCAAATATTCTTAGTTTAGGCATTTTGTTATTTATTATGAAACACTCAAAAATTTTCAAATTAAAACTATTATAAAAAAACCAAATAACAATTTTTTTTTATTTTTGTTATTTTATAATGCTAATAATATAAATAAATTTTTATAACATACTTTAAATTTATTTCATATTAATAAAAAACAAATAAACTTACAAAATAAATCTAAAAACAATGGAGGTGAAAACATTAAGATTGAAAACAATTCTAACTGGAAATTTTAATGTTGGCAAAACTTCGATAATAAAAAGACTTTGTTGTAACGCATTTGATAAAGATATGAAACCCACAATAGGTGGGCCTGACACGTCGGATGTATACACTAGTAATGGAACAAAAATTGAGCTTGTGTTATGGGATACCGGTTTGTTGTTTAAAAAATAATGTGTATAATACAACTTCACATAAAACATATGATAATATATAACACTTTCGAAATGTCATTTACAAAAAGCGGGACAAGAAAAATATTATTGTCTTTTTCCTGTGTTTTACAGAAATTCCAGTATTGTTATAAGTTTGTTGTTTTTATCATTTTATAGATATACTTAAGTAACATCCAGTTGTGTATGATCCCAATAATTCGCAATCGTTTGAAAACGTGACGTATTGGGTCGATTCAGTACACCAATATTGCGACAAAGACACAGTTATTGTTGTTGTTTGTAACAAAATAGATTTGGAAAATCAATTAATTACAAAGGAAATGGCTACTCTATTATGTAAACAATATGGTGATATTCCACTCATGTTTTGCTCGGCACTAAGTGGTGATGGCGTTAAGGAAGTGTTTGATTTTGCAGTCAACAAGTTTTACAATACCAAAGGCGATAAAATGTTCGCACAAACAAATAACACAACGAAACACCACAGCAATGTAAGTTGTGGCATTTTCTAATTATTATTTGTGTTATAATTATTTAAAAATATTAAAACTATTTATTTTACTTCTTACAATTATTTGTGAATAGTAAATAATTAATCTGGCATTTTTTTATTCCCTTTTAATAATTGACCGTATTACAAACTTTTTAACTTTTGAATTTTTTTATAAAACGTTTCTTCAAATTGAATAAAGAATGTATAAAAATTTATAATGAATTAAAATATATGTTATATTATTATTATATACACGCAACAAATATTAACCATAAATACTTTGCTTAATCAAAACATGGCAAACAACACAAAAGTTACAAGTGCAACTATAATGTTGACAGATGCATCTGGATAAATTGATGTTGGATGTGCAATATAACTGGTGTATGCCATAGCAGTGCATTTATCGAATTTATACGCGGTTTCTGTTTTTGCTCCAGAACAAACTTTAGATGATGAATATGTTTGGAACACGAATCTGTCTTTTTCCTGAACGGCTTTATAAGAAATAGACACATCAAACACACTTCCATCTACGCATCCGTTAATAATTATAGAAGTCAAGGGTTGTTCATTCTTGGTACAAACTGAATCATAAAAATGTTTCAAAGTTCCCAAATTGGCAGGAATTGTTTCGACAATTTTAAATCCTTTTGTTTGTAATTGTAATTTATCTAATTTAGTGGAAGCCAAAGAAGAGCACGAGGTTCCTGACCAATAATTGACTCCATCTTCTAGTATTTCATATTTTTCACTAACACGATCATTTATATAACACACTTTGTCTTCATATAAAAGTCTCACTGGCAAGTTTGAAAAGTTTTTAATGCCGATAACATAGGACGAAAGAGAATTCAATACAAATAAAAAGCAAATTATAAACATTAAATACTAAAAATACAAGTTTGAAATGTCGTTTAAATATTGTTTTTAAGACGAAAATTGAATAATCTAATTGATGTAGAACATTATTATTCTTTCTTTTCGAAAATCAAACAGATAAG